TAAATTTATCATCCAGTATAACACCCAAAAACTTGATCTCTGGACTCGTTCTAAATCAACATTATCAAAAGTTATTTTAATTGTCTTATTGTCTTGTTTATTACGGTTTCCAAAACCCATAAATTTGGTTTTATCTAAATTTAACGATAATTTATTGTTTTTAAACCAAAGTGTTAGTTTTTTTCATTTCTGTAGTGACCACCTCTGAGAGTTGTTGGATGTTTTCTCCAGTACAGAAGATACTGGTATCATCTGCAAAAATAATGTATTTTATTATTTCTGATACTTTAAATATGTCATTTATATACAAATTAAATAATTTGGGGCCCAACACTGACCCCTGCGGGACTCCACAAGTTGTGTTTAATAAATCTGATTTTTGAACAGTGGAGGTTTCTCCACAGGAAGTGGTGTGAGGTGAACTCTGTACCTGTTGTGGACTTTCAGGTAGTATTTGCTCTTGAAGGACTTGAAGCAGACGGGACACTGAACGCAGTCTTTGTCGGAGACGTTCTCTGCAGCATCACTGCTCCTGTTTGGTGGATTCTGGRCCTTGGGCACTGTGGGTGTGGGCGGTGCCATGGGACTGCGCTCACCAGCAGGTAAATACTCTTCATCTGTGCTGAGCTCGGCTGCATCTTCCGTCTCTTCCTCGGTCTCAGCCATTACAGGGCTCGTGTTGTGGTGATGAGTGTGGACCTGCGGCTCTGATAGCTGCAAACAGAACGACACAAAACGTCAGGAACTGATCAGAGCTCAAAGCACCTGAAGGATGGCATGTGGCCTGCTGCCTCTCACAGGCCGGGCTTTAAACTACCATCATCGTCTGATGGAATCTGTTGCCTGTTCTGTGACTGACTCACTGCATTTTAGATGCACACCTATAWTTTTATACTTTTTGATCAATTGTAACTGTTTTAAACTGTTTTCTAGAACTTACTTCCTTGTTTCTAWGACATCATATCCAGGGTGGGACTTGACTCTGAATATAGGCTCATGTGTGGTTCACCACGTTCTGCTGGGTCTACGGGGTCAGGGTGGTGATTTCAGGAAGTGGACCAGATCTGAGCTTTGTGTGGTAACCATTACTGGATTGGGCGTGGCTAGCGTGTTGCTAGCTACATAGATGTGCTCACACTGGAGCTCTGTTCTGCATCGAGGAGCCTCAACAA